GGGGGGGGGGGGGGGGGGGGGGTAGCAGGTCGCAACGCACCTCGTCTTGTAGCATCCTCCAGCAAACCGACATCAACCTCCGACCGGGGCAGCACGACGTAGCGGACAACGCTACCACGGATAAACATATTCTTCACGGACGACAGGTGTGGGTACTTGTCCAGGTCGAGGACGTCGACCTCGTCGAGCTTGATGTTGAGGTATTGGTCGACGGATTTCAGGGTGCCGCGGATACGGATATCATTTTTGAGTTCGAGGATCACGGTCTTGTTGGTGAGGGTCTTGAAGAAGCTATATTGCATTAGATAAACCTTGTTCGTTTGTTTGATGTGTCGACTGTTGGTCACGCATACCTAAAAAAGAGCATGGTTGCGGCGGAAAGGTGGTTGAGGGTGGGCGTTCACAGGACTATCGCATTGCCTCGCGGGGTATTGGATGGATTGTAATTCCAGCTGCTCTGCACTTCCCTGGGAACTATTAGGGAAATGTCAGGTATTCAGAGCGCAAAAGTGGGGGGAATGTAATGCCAGCGAGGTGATGTTGCCCGTCGCAATCTAATCTGCTCCAGTCCGGGTCACGTGTGGGCGCACTCTTTTTGTTTCCTGTTGGGCAATACCTTAAAGTGTTCCTCCTACCAGAGCAAGACACAACCAACCACTAAGTGTTCTGTATAGGTATTGAAGTTCAGATAACTGGTTCCATGATAACCTAAGGCTTCACTGTATGTCGCTCAAGTAAGATTTCGCCTTTGATCCCCTCGTTGTGCTGCCCCAATGCGCCCCCTGGCACCATAATTGATCACTAAATGCCTCCGATAAAAAACTGCTTCAGAAAAGGGCCTCAGATCTGGGCATCAATCGATCTCGTACATTAAATTACTGCTCGCCGCCAGGGCGGTATATGGGTATCATAGCTAACTTGTATCGTTCCACATACATAAACCAGATTAAGGACAGTCCCAGACAGATATAAGAACAGGAGAAATAAATAATGAGTGGAAATCCTTACATCTCACGATTCTTGTGGGATCGGTGAGGCTTCTTGTGGCGAGGCTTCATCGTCCAACCGGACAAACAGGTCCAACCAGCGCCGTTCTTACGACCCTCGTCAAAAACCCTTCCGATTCCTTCAAGCCACTTCCCCTGCTCCAGGCCCATCTCGGTTTGCAATTTGAGAAGCCATTGTTCCCAAATCCAACCACCATATAGGCCGGTGACACTAGCGGCATCAGCCGTGCTGCCGACCGGACCCTGCACTGCTTCACACTCGCTGATGTGACTCTTGACTCGAGGCTCGGGTGTCTCCCTAGGAACAGGGGAGAGTACAGGCTCATTACCAATGGGTAAGAACATCCATGCACGTTTGGTTCCCACAAAGCCTCCTTTTTGCAGACGCTCGAGGAAGCTCTTTGTAGGGTTTGGGTCGTAGCCCCGTGTCTTGAGTTTAGACGTAAACTCAGCCGACGTGACAGTTGCGCAAGGCCCTCCGCGCGATATCTGTGCATCCATCACAAAGAACTCCAAATAACCCCCTGGTTTGAGGCAGCGACGGCATTCCCGAAGACAACGGTCATACTCGTCTTGCGGCTCACCCGACCGGCGTTCGCTCTTCAATAGAGCAGGCAGTGAACGAGCAGAGATTACGTCAAACTTGTTGTTGGGGAATGGCAATTCCCATAGATTTTGCACAGAGATTTGACGGTGATTCGCAGGCCCCTTGATGCCACGGTTGACCGCTTGGTGCTCCGTGAAGACGGTGTAGACCTTCACGTTGGGATAATCGTATGCAAGATGCCATGCCCATTCACAAGAAGCATGCCCTCCGAGGTCCAAAACCCTGATACGGGGTGACCTTGAACTTTGAGGGTTTTTCGAGGGCGATCTTGACTTATTGAGTTTCTTTAGAGCGGGACTAGTTATCAGATGACCACCGTTGAGATACCGAAGAGCGTCCATGGCCCACATTGGCTCACTAATCTGGGCAAGCACTAATTGCTCCTTCTCTAGCATAGAGAACTGCGCTTTTTCCTCAAGGATGGAACCCATGACTGAATCACGGGGAGCTTGCGAGAAGGGACCTCGGTAAGCAGGTCGCTCGGGACGAACCAGTTCGTAATTACCCGATAGACAGCTCATGTGCATCTTCGTCAGGCCCAGCCGGATAGATTGCACAGCATCGAAGCGCATGCTTCGATGCAAGAAGATATCTGTGTCACTGGAGCGCTCGCGGATCGACTGGAACCCTCTCCAATAGATCGAGTCCTTGCTTGCGAGTGCCGAAGGCTGAGAGCTTGGGGCTTCGGGAACTGTCTCGTCAAATCGGACAGACTTCTTGCAGGCGACTTGTGCTACCGCTTGCGTAATACTCTCCGAGGTGTCGATGAAGTCATCTCTTTCGCTCACCGGCGTATTGGCGGGATTTGTTTCGCACAAGGCAGCAAGATACGAAGCCTGCGCCGCAAGCCAAACGCTAGTTCTGTCTAGACTTGCTATTGCCTTCTTCTGCAGTTCACCTTCATAGTGCTCGTCTTGCTCGTCCGGATTATGCACACCCGGTTCTGTGATCTCATAGACGCCGTCAACATCGTCACTAACGGGGCTTTCTGCGTGTTCTAACTGGAACGCTGGGGCTTCCGTTGGGATCCTGATCGCAGTTGGTGGTCCACTCGGATCGTAAACAGCCGTCAACTCCTCATCAGACTGCCTCTCGGGGCACTCGATAATCTGTTCAACTATTTCCCCATCGGCCCTGTTGAATGGTAGATTGTAGAACCTCTCGGCAGTGGCGGACGACGGAATATTATTTAGCTTAGGGATCGACCATGTGTGACGAGCTCGAGGACCGAGAGAAGCAAAAAAGCCTCCAGGGGAAGGTATACTAAGTCTACTAAAGCTATACCCAGAAAGGTCCGATGCTGGGGTCGCATCGTCAGCACTGCGTGGTCGCTCCGGCGTCTCGATCTGCCACATCTCTTCGTTTTGTTCCGAGGTTTCTGACCAAGGATCCGGGGTCCCATCCACGGAAATATGTCTCAGCATCGCCATTGCATCTTCTGGAAGAAATACGCCTCTGTCGGATGGTGTGTCTTCGCGAACAGGGTCAAGCACGGGTGATGCTCGTGTTCGGTCCGGAATTCGAGGAAAGTTTCCGAGAAACTGTTGCCAGTCCTCGTCGGGGTTATCAATGGTGATCTCGATGCTCTGCAAGTCTGAGCCTGTCTCCGGGTCTCGTAGGCCTGCAGTCTGTTCATCTTCGAGGTCCGGTCGCACGTGGATGTCGTGTGCATCCCAGTCGTTATCAGGGAGCGACTGCACATCAGGAGTTGGAGGGGCACTACAGTTTGAAATTTGATCCGATGAGACGCTGCCATCCAGCGATGGAGGAGCATGCACGGCCGGTACGGAGTGGCTAAGCTTTAGTAGAGCAGCCGGGGAAACTGGTATCTTCGGAGGTGGAGTGGGAGGCACTGGTGAGCTTTTCGAGAGGCCCTGAAGAGATGGCCACATTGTCGAAGAGGGGATTGTAAGACTAGGATAGCGGTTGCGATTCGTTGGTGATATCGAATTTCTCGTTGTAGGACTCACGAGACTTGTCGGGCGAGTGCTCGAGATCGACGTGCACTCGTCACTTATGTCTGATTCATCATCGGTTGCATCATATAGGTCATCGAAGGATTGCATTTGATTTTGCCATTCCATATCCGAACATGAGGAGGTGGTCCCGGCTGATAAGGGTGACAGCAAACGGTTCAGTCTGGACGCCAGCGCCAGACCACTAGTCTTCAACTTCAACTGTGGGTGAGAAGCTTTCTTTTTTGGACTAGGTTCACTGCGATGCGGGTTTTCCGCATATTCCTCCTCGCGCGAGTCCTCGATTATGGTATTAAGCCTCGTCCCTCGAGCCTGCCGAGGAGGGGGGCATGTGTATGTTGCAGAGCGTAATAGCTCAGCCATCTTGCTCTCAGTGTGTTCCTTTTTCGGTTCTTTTCTTTTTTTCAAGCACGAGCAAAAGATTACATCAAAAGCCGACGGTGCCCAGAATTGGAAACCTTTTAAGGCTATATTAATTGCGTCCGACACCGATCAACGGGTCCACCGGCGCAAGTAAATGGATATAACGAAGGATGGCCTAGCTCGCAGAGCCCAAGGCACGTTTACTATAAACCCAACAAAAAAGAAAAAGGAAAGGATAAAATGAAGGCAAAATGACCGCAAAGTAGGTGAAGATCACGATCGATCCGTGGCGCAGGGCTCTGATAAATACACCCAAAGCCAGAGGAAGGAAAGAGGGGAAGAACTGGAGACGCCGTGCTCACCAACCACCCGTGCAGAAACTATGCATCATTGCGCACGACGAGCCAGGCATCCTTGAATATCGAGCGTTCATACCAGTTACCATTGGTTGCTGTAGGGGCGGCGCTTCGCTCCTGGAGAGCTTCCAGCACTCTGAGAGGTACAATAAAAGTGATATCAAGTACGCTCAACAGATATCACACCAATCGGTGGGGAGAGTGTACATGCGAAGAACGGCCCTGGACGAATGAGATTGGTGACTGGACGTTGAGGCATGTGTGATTGGCGAACTGCAAGCGCCGGAAGAACTATCTTTAGAACTCGTGTCGAGGGTTGTCTGATTAATCAGTAGATCATGTTTTCTCCACCCCAACGTTATTTGGAAAGGCGGTTAATTAATGCTGGTTAGGTAGCCAGCAGTGTGGTCGGTCATTTCATCAACGCCAGTCTGTCTCTCAGGAAAGACAAAAGAGGTCATTCCGTTCCCAAATCATTCAGCAATTGGTTGACTAAGGGAAATTGACCAGGTCAGCCGACCAGTTCATCGGAGATTGAGCGAAAGGTGAACTGGCACTAATCCAAGTCAGCGTTGAGTCAAGTCGGACAGATTACCAATGGATAGCAAGGAATGGGTGGTGAACGGCCCTTCTGTGACGGGCGGCCGGTTCCCGTGATCGCTTTCAGCATTGAAGCCTGAGTCTCGAACATCTCTTCAGGCATCCAGGCCCCCACCGCCCGGACCCCACCGGGCCTTCCACGTGCAGGACTTGGCCCTAGCCCTTATCGTCAGTATCCAACTTGCCCGATTTGGCTGTCCGGAGTGACGTCGACCGGTACTCCATAAATGGCGGTGATATCAATGGCCGGTTTACTCAATTTTTATGGATTTTTTTCTTACCCTATGATGGAGTACACATCTCCACTCTTTCCCCATACCTGTGTTGTACACACACCCCTTTCCTGATCCAGATATATAAACCGTCCCTCCCCATTGACTCCCCAAAGCTTGCTCTTTCCATTGGTAATCTCCCCGCTGTATTCATCCATTACTCCCCTTTTCTATACAAGCATCCGGCCGTCATGTCCCCACCGGCGATTATAGCTCCATCCATCCTGAGCGCGGATTTCGCGACTCTGGGCAGCGAATGCTCGACCAAGATCGCCCAGGGTTCGGATTGGCTCCATGTCGACATCATGGACGGCCACTTCGTCCCCAACATCACCTTTGGAGCTCCCGTCGTGACCAAGATCCGTTCTCACGTCGACCGTCCCACCCAGCCCTACGGTAAGGGTACCTTCGACTGCCACATGATGATCATGGAGGTAAGAGATATCTACCCCTGAAGCTCCGCGCCGTTTTCGCGCGTGACCCGATCCTTCCGTGCGCCCTAGAAGAACCGCCGGCTGATCGTCCCGTGTTTACATCTAGCCCCATAAATGGGTCAAAGAATTCAAGAACGCCGGCTGCGATCTGTACTGTTTCCACTACGAAGCGGCCGTCGCTTCCGTCGCAGCTACGGAACCAGCAGACTCGGAAACCACTCGCAAGACGAGTCCCAAGGAATTGATCCGCTACATTCACGACCAGGGCATGCAAGCAGGCATTGCGATCAAGCCCGACACACCAGTCGACGTGTTATGGGAGATTCTCGAGAACGAGGATGAGAAGGAACGCCCCGATGTAAGTGACATCATATTTACATGAGAAAAACCGGGGGAAAACCAATCCCCACGCTAACAGTATCATAGATGGTCCTCGTCATGACCGTGCACCCCGGCTTCGGTGGGCAGAAATTCATGGCCTCGGAACTCCCAAAGGTGCAGGCTCTCCGTGAACGATACCCTGATTTGAACATCGAGGTTGATGGGGGACTTGGACTCGGGACGATTGACCAGGCCGCTGAGGCAGGAGCCAATGTGATTGTCGCTGGTTCGGCGGTTTTTGGCGCTCAGGACCCAGCCGACGTCATCGCGAAGCTGCGTGAGGCCGTTAACAAACATCGCAAGGCTTAAAGGGCGTACAAAATATTTCGTTTTGTATTCCTTTCTCCTACTTTCATGTGACACGAAATTTCTTCTAATCTCCCATAGCTCGTAATCCTAACCCCCCCTTTTTCTTTATCTAATTATTGTTTTCTTTGGGTTCAGTGTTGACCCTTGCTTTCGTCTTGGCTTGAGTATGTGACCGGTGAAAAGACTGGTATATGGTAATGTTCATTACGTCGAAAATTATATAGATATAGGAAGTAAAAAGAACCGCAATTAAATCTCGAGTTCCCAATTATCGGGCTAAAATCACTGCGCTGGTATCTTTACAGGGTAGTAGGGGGGGAAAAAAATAAAGGAAACAGCAAAGATGAGGGCCAGTTAAGAAAGGTATTGTCGGGCGTGTCCATCGTAAATCAGCAATCAAAGGGTCATTCAACTGGAACCGGGTCTCTTCGCCTTCCGATTCATCGCATCCTCGACATCCTCTGCACTTTCCGACTCTTCATCAATGGTTTCCTCCTGACCAGCTTTCTGCGCCTGGTCGTCGCGCAACGACTCCAACATCTCCGCATGCCCACCGGATATAGACTTACGAATATCCTGCGCAACCTTGGCCTTCTCCTCCGGCGACGTGGCAGAAACGATGGACCCACGATGATGCTCAACTAATCCTAGTGCTTCAGCATTATCAGCATGAAAATTGGCAGACGAGACGGCGGCGATCTCCGGCACCAGAGGCGGCCGCTTTGGATTACCCCCCGTGACGATCTCCGGAGCAACCGATGATTTCCGACGTACACTATCTGCGTCTCCTTCTTTTTTCTCCTCGCCAGCTGCAGTCAGAGGTTGCTGCTGCTGCGCAAGAGCTGGGCTGGCCTTCTCGGTCTTGCTCTCTTTGGCTTTGGCGGCGGCCTCCTCGCTCGCCTGGCGCAGAGCGAGTGTGATAGAGTCGTCTTTCTGGGATTCCTTGGCCGGGGGGTTTTGGATCTTAATAGTGCTCTGCTTGGGGACCGAGGGTTCCGAGGCGGGCGTTGAGGCCGCAGACCCGGATTCGGGCTTCGTGGTTGAGGGCGCGGTGCTCGTCGCGGGGATACTATCAAAGTCTTCGATGCTGTTCACCTGCACTTTCAGCTCACCGTATTCGTTCCATTCTTCGACTTCCTCCAGGTCCTATGACGGTCGCATTTTGTCAGTAAAGTGTGATCGTTGGTTGACTGGCCCCCCTCGACAACGGGCCTCTGCAGCTCGTGTAGAGGAAGAGGGGAAAGGGGGCCCGTGGGGTCAGAGTAACCAACTTACACCGACAACGGTGCCAAATTTCACCAGACCTGGCAACTTCTTGCCCTTAGAGCGACGACCCCAGAGCTTCCGGGCTGCGTCATCGGTTGCCACATCAATTGCGCGGAAGGGGAGTTTGTTGGCCTTGAGGATCGTCTCCAATCGTGCAGTGGCGGTGACGATGTGGGACGACCCCGCAGTAAGGGAGGTGTAGAGATAAAGGGTCGAGTCCGACATGGCGAAATATATGTATTATCGGAAAGTAAAAGGAAAGGAAAGGAAAATGAAAGGGCCCTCTAGAACGAAGGAGGACTATGGATATTCACGATGCGGTTTGAGGGGGTGGTGATAATCATTCAGGGGGGAAAAGATAGAAAAGGTGGAAGCACGTCCCACCAGTGTTTCTTCTTTCTCCAAATTAATTTGACTCGTTTTTTTCTGATATTAATTCTTATGACGTGGCTGCTCACCGCCCACGCGTTTCTCTTAGGTCACGTGGGCCCTGATCAGCTGCCGGAAGATGGAGGTGATGAATGGATATTGATATTCACGTCTGCAGAAAATTAAGAAGAAAAGCGAGAATAAGACTATAGGAGCAGGGATAGAGCTCTTTACATAGACCACACTCACCTTATTATGTCAGTCTCCTTTGTCTCCAATACTGGGAGCGAATGGGCCCCAAAAGTGGCAACCTGACGTCAGATGGGCTTCTTCCCACTTTCCAGGAACCAGTTCTTAACGGTCTTTTTGAGGTCACGGCAAAAGGATGGAGTGGGGTGATCATGGGACGTATTGGGAAGAGCTCTGATGGTTTGCCAGTTGTGCAGTAGTGTGAATTGGTCAAGCCTCTCTTGGGTTCACTTCATAGATTATATACCTGCCCATATAATATATATTTACAGAGAGTATTTATCCCCACCCGTAATCACAAGACCTCCTAACTCTGAGACTTCCTTTAGGTCTTTCTGTTTTTGTTACATTTTTAGGAAAAGAGAAAAAGGTCTATATGTCTACATCAATAATAGTACTAGTAGTTATGAATGTTGATCGCGGGCCATTCATGCCCTCAAAGTTACCAAATTGGGAATCCAAACCAGTTGCCACGCTTTTGTTAAAATTGAACCTTCCATAACTAACTTTGCAGATCTCTTCATATTGGAAACTTCAGTCGTTGTGCGTTACGGAATAGTATAGACAAGTATTTCCGTAACATTCCCTATTGCCAAGGAGATCTGCATCGAACGTTCAAGGCCCTTTGGAACCTCTGATATGCATCCAAAGATCTATTGGAGCCACGAAACTCGATACAAGCCTCTTCGAGGCCATCAATCCATCTTGATGTCTTGATTTGCTTCTTGGGAAATCCTCAGTCTCCATGTGGTGAAGGGTCCGAGGGGAGAGCACGGCTGGACTCCTTGGGTATCCCGCCAATACCAAAAGTCATGCTCGCGATCAGCACGAGTAAAGACGGCTTTTCCCGGAATCTCCTAGATACTGGTAGCCTCAACCGTATCATTTGCAAACTGCACATTAAGAGGATCGTGGGAAAAGTTGTACCTTTTGTTATGGGTGTCAGTAATGGACTCGTCCCCCTGATGAGTGATATGGATGGACAGTAATCTGCGCCCTGCAGGGTCAGGCTTGGGGATTTCAACCCTAAAAGCCACACGTGAACCTCTTGAAGACGGATATCGATCCAGTCCCGAAAGACGTCTCTAGTCTTCTCCGGATCAACAGATACAAAAGCGGTGTAATCACCAGGGCTAGACGGTGTCATTAACTGACGCCGCTCAGCCCTCAGTCCATAGACAAGCCCCAGAATATCCGGGTTGGCGGGCCAAATAACTCGCACATTGCGTGAGTAGAACTCCAGGGTGCCATTGAATAATGCCTCAAGCTCGGCCTGTTGATTCCCCGGGAAAACATGATCCATTAGCGGCCCAGGTGAAGAAAGTGGAATGTCATCAAGGAATCCCCGGTATCTAATTGCACAACTCTCATAGTTAAGATACTGCATATTACCCGCAGTCGAAGTAAATCCTGCATCTTGCGTAGCAAGAAGATGACCGATGGAAGTTCTGGGTCGATTTTAATTGCCTGGTGGCCGAGTTTATCGATTTGATCATTGCAATGATTCAGAGTCTGGGAAGAGTCAAGGAGGTGTTGTATTGATGTATTGTATTCAATAACCGCATCACTCCGGGTGAGAACTGTATCCACGTAGTCGTCTAGGGCTTTACTGATCTCCTTTCTCTCTTCCTCCGGAATGACGTTCTTAAAATCAAGAAGTAATTTCTTAATCGGTCCGCACTTTTAAGTACTTCGAGAGCACCGGGGTCGTCTAAGTGAATTGTATTATCCCTGTTTGTCCCCAGAGCTTCTGCCAGGGACTCTAGCTTGTCTGCACACATGGTAAGCTGATCGATGATATAGTCCTTATTAACATAGTCCGTGATACCTTTTGCTTTGGTTGTGGACTCGTTTTCTTGGTATCCAAATTGGATAAATTGGGCCAGAGCTGACCGGTCAAAAGCCATCCTTATTAGAGTTGTAAAGCCATCGAGGATCAATTTCGGATCCCATTGAAGAGTGAAGTGAATATGGCTGATCTTATCTTTGATATCTTCACGTTTCGCCTTCAACTCTGGCGTGAAAGCCGCGATCTTATAGGAAGTGGTTGGCAATGGCCCAATTTTACCTGTCAGTAATGCAATATTGTCCTCTGCTGCCTGTCTACTAGATTGCATCTCTTCGACACTATCGGTGATATACTACTGTGCTTCATTATTGTTCTCCAATGCATCCTTGTACCCGGTGGTGAGGTCCTCCTGTTTCTCGAGAAATGAGAGCTGGGCTTTCACTGACGTTTGATAATAGAGAAATGATAATCGCGGGACCTAGCTAGCCATGTGTTTAAACATGTCTTATCCTATCCGAGTAGCATTCGATTGAATCGACTCTTAGCCTCTCCGTAAATCGAGTGTAGCTGTGTGGTCCCACTAATCGTAACTTCCTAGTTATCCTCTAACTCCCTGTACGCCTCTGCCAGTGCCGACAAAGTTTTCCTCTTCTAACTTATCTACAAATGCTAGGCGAGACAGGAGAGTATTGTACATACCGTCCGTCTCCTTCCTAGAGGCGATGCTGTTGGTAAAAAAGGACTGGTTCGCTTTATCGAAAATCATCTGGCATTGACCAGGAAATGCAAAGGCTTTCGTAGCTTTGAAATCTTCCGCATCACCGTTGAGGGCTAGATTCTTTACGGTGATTTTGCCGGTATTTTTCCCAGCCTTCTCCTAGCTTCCCTGGTGACACATCAGGATCACCGCTTGACCCGCCTAAGCCATTAGAGCCTACCAAGTGGTTCCCGCCCTTTAGCTTCTAATCAAACAACATGCATCGCTGACAGGAGGAATGGAGTCTAGACTGAAAATGCACTCACCTAGGTCCGACCTGCAATTCCGCCCTGCTTCGCTCCAGATTGCACTTCGGTCTCCTCCTACCGCTTCAAATACTGCAGCAAATATATCTGGAAACTCTGATTCGGGCTGCGGAGATAGTTCCTGAAGAAGATCCGAGATATTCCTCAGGATAAAAAGAATCCCCGGACGGCGATACGACACGATCACTTTTTGAATCGCCTGTCGAGCGTCATTCAACTTGTCTACAACAGAAACAGGAACTGTAGATGGTGAGTTGGTGGACTTTAATATGCTTTGAAGAGACTTTCTCGTTTCTTTGACCATGGCACTTGTCAGGCGCTGATTGCCCAAGACGCTCGCTAGATTCCGCAGCGCTGCACTACCCTGATGATGCATGATATGCAACAAGGCGAATCACAGAGATTGCAGCTGGCAGATCAATACCAGTTAATGGTGTTGCTTGATCATGTTCGGGGAGGGACTGTTTAATTCCAGAGTAGTTGGCTGAGCTGATTGGCAAGGATCTACAGCTGCAAAGTTCCACCAATGTGGCATATCGCATCGGTTTTACTCAAGGATACCGCAACATTCGTTAAAGCATCTGAGCTAGAATTCATCTACTGCTATCTTGGGCGAAGACTCATCCTAGAAGCGGCGATCTTTTTTCAAAATGGCACGGGGTCCTATATTCTATGTAAGAGCGTCGCATCCGCTCTGATTACAGTCGTTGTTGTTCAGATTCGAATTTATACACACAGCGAATACACTCAAAGAGTACTTTCATTGTTTGAAATTCTGCCCAACTCGTTGAAGAATCGATTACCATGGCTACCCAGTTGACATACGAACCCCTCATCCAGGAGATGATGACAGTGACACCACCAATGGGTGGGAAGTTGTCGTCTCCTATAATGAGGATAGAATTAACAAACCTCTTGAAAACCGTATCTCAAGAGAGCCCTATCGAAATTTGACTTGATGGTGGACTGGGAGTATCCCTTTACTGGCAAGATAAAAAAGCTTCTCGTCCGACTGGAGATGACCAACCCAGTCCTACAGTTCAATAGTGACAAGGGTAGAGCCGAATTGACCTATGATCTCGGCGGTAACTACGGCCCCAAAGAGATTCCCTATTCCCGAACAGATGAGAATACATGTGTCTGTTGAGATCGCAAATCTCCAAGGCAGCGTTAGCAACGACCCTGGTGAATCTGGCTTTGAACCGAATGAGGACGCTCTTCATACACCCACAGCTGTACAGAGGGGCAAACAGCAGCCCAACTATATTGTGAGCATGAATGGGGAAAGGACTGCTCAGGGAGTGTGTGTTGTCTTTCGTGACGGCGATGTGAAACTTAGCAACCCAGACTCTAAACACGATGCCATCCTCTTCACACTGCAATCTGCCATCGCAAGGGATACGGCGAACGAGCAAGGTAAAAGCAACTACCACTACTTTTATCGGTAGAGCCAATGTCCCCTGTCGTCTTTCGAGATACACTACTGTAACTCTTGAGCCAACTTCGTTCTGTTTATCCCATACGAGACACAATGATCTGGAGCCTTGGTGATGTGGGCTGCACAACCGGAGGGTCCAACATCACTCAACTTCCATCCGGACAATCGAAATCTGAATCCTATTCCCGAGAGAAATACCGCAAATATTATCATCAGTCATGATATCGTATGGAAACAATTTTTCAAGGCAACAGCACTATCGCAGTCCTATATATTCGTTTACTAACGGCGGGATTTCTCCTCAAGTCCGCACTAGAAACCACACTCGATGATGTAAAAGTTGTTTCGACAAAGGAACAGTGTATACAAAATCCGATATTTTTTACACAAAAGCTGGACTAACAACATGTACTATAGATGGAATGACGTTGGCTGGAGCCCTCCGCAATGGAACCGTCGGGATGAAGAAATACTTCAAGAGTTACAGCTGTGGACTTTACACTGGCACCGAAGCAGTCGACCCCGTGGTGGTCAAGTGCGACAGACCTGAAACGAATATACACATTGAACCCAAGCTTGATATATCACGCCACCTTATCACCCTCTCTTACACCAGCAATAAACACGCCACTGAATGGGTAAGTCACGCGGGAGTGGGCCAGCCAGCATATAGGCACCATGTACATCAAGTTTAAATGGAACGGCACAGGCTTGTGGCAAGACAGGAAAGATCCTAGCCACCCCAACAGAATCGGGGTCAAATTTGAAAACACCAACGCCTGGATCCTGGGTGTGCCTGGGAAGATCCCTCCCTGGTGGCGACCTAGTTCCCCCGAAGAATTGCTTGACTATTATGACAAGCTAATGATGACTGTTGATATCGATGTTCCCATGGCTGATCTCGACTACTTCCTCACGTCCAATCTTCTCTTCTCCGGCCAACACATCTTCATCGCAGATTCTCCCAAGCCGGACTCTAATTATGACCACGGACTCGCCGTTCCTCGTGGCCTCATTCTCACTGGATAGGTTGCGGAGAAGTTAAAGTTCTCGACCGGACTCAAGGACGAACTCTCTCTAGCGAGAATAACAGCGCCCTTCAGGGGGATCCAGCCCTTTACAAAATTGTTCATTGTGTGAATCTTAGATCATATGTTAAAGGCTATACCTAGGAACGGTGATAGCTCCCTCAGGATCTGTGGGAACGATTCTTTCACGCCGATGTCGTGCATCAATCCAACATTAAGTCTAGCCAGAGTGCCTAAAGAATGTAAGAGTAGCGATAGTATAGATCTAGATCTGTCAATCCCATGACGACTCCTCTATAGCTGCTCGGGTTACAATAGAGAATGCTATAATTATACATATTCAGAAAGCCTTTTAAGATAGAGAATGAACCCAAGGTGCAAATTCCCAGTCATCTTCAAAGAAGATATCTCTAGGTTCGTCATCCAAATTATTGAACGTCGAAGGCGCTTACTTTGCAATCCGTCCTCCCGGCATAGGCTACATGGGATATTGAGAATAGAGATTGCCGGTGGCGATCACGAAATAAGATGATCCACACGACATAGAAGGAAAGTAGAGAGCGAGGCCAGGTGAAGATACTACGCGGCACATGTAAGCATAGTTCCAAGATAGTTTTCGCTGGCGCATTCGTAGTCAAGGTTTTTGGGTTTGTAGCTATCCAAGAGGCAATCTCCGAGTGCGCTAAATATAGGAGGACAAGCCGTTAACTGCCCCGAACCGTTCGCGGAGAAATCTCGGGCCTTAGTCTACTAGTAATTAACCTTTTTCTGACCCTTTTCGGATAATGCAGACATGATTTGTTCCCCGTTAATTTCCTTGTAAGATTACTTCTTATCTAGACCCTGAAGAAGTTGTTTCGGTAACGAACTAGGTTGATAACAAGCTAAATGGAGAAGAATCTGCCGAAACGTGAAGTTTGGCATCACATCAGCATTGACACTAACTACTCTCGCGACGAGTGATATCATCTAGACCATTGCATGTCGTTGATGTTGAATACGAAGACATACACGGGTTAGGCATGATCCCAAAGATGTGTGTGACTTGGGCCTTCTGTCAGAAGCTGCGGGGTCACGCTTCGCATACTAAGTATGTACATACGAGCGATAATATCCTTGAATCTGTTTGCCATTCCTACCTAGCGTAATTGCCCTCTCTTCACTCTCTCTAGTATTCTCGTACATCTCACTGGACTCGTGATATTTTTTTCTATTTTTGCTTACTTTTTCTCCCCTATGCCTCGGTGCAATAGCTCAACGCTGCAACTATAGGTCGGTTCAGGTCAGGCCACAAGGCTGGGGACTCAGACATAAGTTCCGTAGACAACCGGTCAATCTAGGTTTCGCCATCAGGCCTGAGCGCATCCTATCATCCGGCTCCATTAATAAACCACAGCCTACATGATCAAACATCCCTCGAGCTCAGAAACCTTGTCCAATCCAGGGCATCCCGGAAAATTCTCAAGGCTGCCAACATCAATCTGACGCGTCATCGACAGCTATTTGATTCAATACCCTGGGGGAAATGATGGCTGAAGTGTTCTGTGCCTTACGAGCACCACCGCATCCAGATCAACATGGTGTAGCGAAAGTGGCTGACTGAAGCTCTCATCCGACATACGCAACAGCAAGGTAGCAGATTTCCCTATGTGGCCATGGGCATTGAAGATGGGAGATGCTGTGCCACTTGAAACGGGCAGGCTTGCGTCTCGGAACCTTAAGGGGCTTGCTAAGCATATGGGTGGCTCTATAGCAGTGTGCAGTTAAGTATCCGACATGGTGGTCAGCATGGGGCGTCAAGGAGCCTGGCTAGGCACGGAGAGCCTTCTGCATCAAGTTTCAAGGGCGCTTGTGCTCCAGGAGGCTCTCCCCACGCAGGACCAAGCCGGAGTCTGATACTCTGAGGAGCTTTCGAGCCAGTTTTCCCTCCACCGGGATCAGAGTAAGGCAGAGACTGGTATTGGGCATTCGAAAATGATTTGCCGTTGTAAGTTTACTCTGCTGAGCGGATTCTGGTGCCTACCGACCGTCTTCCTCTTTTAGTAGGTCGGTCTCTTTGAGGGTATGCATATTGTCGCGAAAACGCTCTGCACTCTGAAAATCTCTAGGTCATTGAACAAACCATCCCCCTCCTCAGGTAGGTACATCAAATACCGTCATATGGATATAGATTCCACCAATGAGAACAAAGTACGATGTCCGATCATGCTACTACTAAGTAGTAGTAAGTCGGTACATACTGCACGCCTAGAATAAACACCTGAGGCAGCTACCTCCACCAGATACGTAGGTGCAGAGTATGTACATACACCGGATGTACTCCGTATGCACATACGTTCCTCTCTCACCGGAGTGTAACCTCGAATTTCCCGGAGTGGAGCATATGAGGACATTAGGACCCTATTTACCGTGCTCTTCTTGTTTACCCCTCCGCAAAACAACTTCTACGAAGACTCCATCTGCTTCGCTCTTCACTGCACGGGACGGTCCAGGATTGGTACCTGCCTATGTAGGTGTAGATGCATAAAATCACAGATAGTGAACACTAGTGTACCAACGTTCAGAGATCCTGGCCCTATCATTCGGCCGTGACAGGGACGGGCGGCGATCCCTGGGGTCCACTACAGCCACGTCGATCGCCTATTTGTCAGAGAAAAGCGTTTTCGTCTCTTCGAGGAGACGCCCCGACATTTCTGGAAGGACGAATTAGCGCTGGGGGGCTATTTTTGAGATACCTTGATCAGGTATGTATTGGACAGCATACTACCATCATGAGATATGTTTGTACCTTACATGCCTTTTGCCCCTCCTCCTTCTTCTTTGTGGTTATTCTTAGAGGATTGGGCTGTTACGGAGGTATTGGATCATAGGGCCTTGGCTATTAATCTACTTTTATTACAAACTAATCAGTAACAGGGCATAGGGTCGAGGTTGGGTTACGGAAGAATCGTTGAATCCTGATCTCACTGTGTAGAAAACTCATCTGGTAATGGGCGGATAAATCCCCACTTGGTCGTAGAGACCAGTACGTTCAAGGTCACACTCACACACGGAGGAGTATAGACGATGAGAAGAAAAAAAAAAAAAAGAGGCAAACTCATTAAACGTGGTGGAGCAGTATCTATGAGCCTACCGCGAATTTTCCTATGAATTTCGTCATAGAGGGGCAGACGATGCTAAAGGCCCGGCCGGTGAAGTCTGAACAACAAATTCAGGTACAGATCTGGTCCGAGTGTCCTTCTAGACTGAATAAAATGAATAATGAGGAGGCGTATTTGGCTACCGAACAAACGAGAGCCGTTTGGGGGAGAGAGAAAGGTCTGAGTCACAGCCTCTAGCGAGTATTGGTTGCTAAGAATGGATATTCCAAGACGCAAAAAAGCGGTGACTTGAGAACTGTGGATTGGCAGTGGATGTCGGCCTTTCGCCAGATGAAACAACGGCGGGTTGGGGGTCCTTTTGACCGCTGGTATCGCAACGACCACTGCATGGTCCTAGAAGGTGCCGTTCTTGAAACTACACCGGTTAGTAGTCAATATCGTGACCCGATATAGGTAAAGAATCTGGTGACAGTGATGTGATGAGAGTCCAGCCGTCACTCCACTTTCCACTGTGTTGTTCACCCGCGACTGCCGTGATTTTCCTGCCTGAGGACTTAGATGGCGTATGCTATCACGTGCTGCACGTGATCCGTTAGGTCATTTACTCCGTTGGGTTGGCCGGTGGGACGAGCCCCACTCTCTCTGTCCCTCACCAAATGATCGAACGTTCGCCGATAGTTTTGAGATCGTCCGGTCACCGCAGACAATAGAGGCGGAGCCATCGCAGAACCCAGAAGCCGAAAGAAGAACGGAACGAACGTCCCCTCCACGAAGAAAATTAGGAGATGGATTACGTACGGTCGGTCAACTTCGAATCCTGGGGTCAACCACGACGCAGAAATTCTACTCCGAACCTTGGGAACCTCCCGCGCGAGTACCATGGGAACGCTCAACTCCGAGGGTAGGCTACTGGCACGGGAACCGTTCAAATTGTTGTTGTTGTTGTTCCTACTATCATATACCACACCTGACAGCGCTTTATGATTCCGGCTGAAGAGATCGTAAAACCGTACACTACGTGCTAGTCGCCAAACGAGGAGATGGGGCGCATTCAACGGTAGGCCAGTACTTCCTTCATGGTGGGAGCACTTCTATACTAGGTTCTACACCTAGATCTTGTGCAAAAATATGCGTCAAACCGGGTTGGGACCGATAAAGGTCGTTCTCTGCCTTCCCACGATACTGGTGGACTTGACATCCGGATCAGTTGTCTCGTTATCATGTTCATTCTCAGTTGATATGGGGAATCAGAAAGCGCCATACCTAACCTAGACACCTCATTGATTAGGTATGGGGACGAGGGAGCCCGAATGGGAGTAAGCTAATCGACGTGGCAGACTTAGAGTCGATGGGTGGAATTTAGCTGAGACCCGAATGGGCTGTACGTCACAAGTAAAAGCAAGAGATGTGGGTGTGAGAATGTTGGTTGTACGGTACGGTGTCCGGAGTGCTGCGTGTCATGGATATGTACCTTTAGCAGAGGGTCTGTACTTTAGGGTATGTACGTAAACACTGGTACCGAGTGCTGTGTTCCTAAGGCTCTTTCCCGCTGTAGGCGCCCTGAGGGAGGTAACAGGAATACGCTGACTGGACCCCATCGCCGGTACTCAAGACTTTGCCTAACTGATCGAGGGGACTAACTAGAACTGACTGACCTTAGTCCGGAGTTAGTTAGGGTCGTCTGTCCTACCGGCTAACCTGCAATTGGAAGGACTAGTGATAAACAAGATGACTGATCATCCAACACCATCTTACTTATCTGTTCTCTTGCTGGATCGGCTGCGCATCGGTGTAATCCGTTTCGCTGCCTCACTTCAGGGCTCACACTCTGCTCCTTCTCTGACTCGTTGGCCGTCTCAGCCATGGGGAAATGTAGTATCTTACTTGTCCCATGATAGTCTGAGAGATTCGACCCGCGTTTGACCAGTCAGCGTGCTACCCTCCACTTTTTACTGGATGTATTTCTCTCTCTTCCTCTTTTCCGAACAATTTCTGGGTTTCTCTACGCTAATGTCGTTTGAGTTAGTCTCTACTCCGATGACGATGGTTTATGTTATTTTTATTCCCATTTCATCTCCTTTCTCATAGTGTTGTTGCCCCAGGCTTGGACTCTTTCCCCCCTATAGATAGACTTGTACTAGTGCTCTGATCATCCCCCCGACGAAGAATAAAAGAGAGAAAGGGAAAAGAAAAACAAAATACAGAGTATAATCAAATGAAATAAATTGAAATAAATACAAAACTAATAAGGATAATTATTAAATAAAAATTAAATACTCGCCAGAATTATGGTTTATTCCTACGTTAAATTCAGGAGAAAAAACTGGGCTGCCCAAAAAGAAAGAAATAAAATCAAATAATAATAATGGAAAAATCTGAAAATAAAATATATTAAAATATTAAAATATTAAAATATCAAAATATCAAAATATCAAAATATCAAAATATCAAAATATCAAAATATCAAAATGGAAAATGAAATATAAAACGAAAAAATTAAAATTAAAATTAAAATTAAAAAATAAATAACAAAAACTCACTCCATTTGACCACACTGTTCACCCCAGACAGTTCCAGACCATCTTCTGTCTACCCTTCTGCCCATCCCAGATCATTCTCATCTCCGGTCCACACTGCCATTTCTGCCTTAGTGCAGCTTTGCACTGGCCAATCCCTCATGGAGCATCATCCCCGCCCCGGCTGGTTTCTCAAGTTTCAAACAGCCATGAACTACTCTTCTCTGACGGACTTTTTGCTCTCACGCTATCCTCTCCATACACCACCAAATCCACACCCCCCTTTCCTTCCCCCCCCCCCCCCCCATCCATCTCAGTCATCCATTGTACTCCGTAGTCCGGACCATTTGATCAAACTGGGCTGTGGAGTGGTTTGGGCTCAATTCTTAAACTGATATCTCCCTCACCTCCGTTCTCACTATCTGCCCCCAACGATCGATCATCTGTCACATCCTATATATCTGGAGACTTACTCGCTCTTCCAACTCTCATCCATATCGAGCCTTATACTTCTTTCCTCCTTCCTTCTTGATCTTCACTGTCGCAACAATCTTATTGTCCAAGACCGTTCACTTCATACTCTCCTACACTTACACCTCCTTATCGGCTTATCGCATACCCTACCACATTTCCCGCATCTCTTCCACCACCAAATTCGCCGAATCCATACGGCACAGATACTCCAGTCAGTCTCTTCTTTTTGGCTCGTCATTCTCCACATGCTATCAAGCATGGACTAACCGGCGATTCGGTGTAGAGAACTGCCCCCTCCTAGAACCCCCCGCTCCAAGAGTCATTTGGTACTGATAGCAGCTCTTTTCCTGCCTCGTCTCACGTGAGAAGGCATCACTCAAAAAGAGGATATATCTTTCCAATATGGCTGTCAATATGGCCGATGAGGAACTCTTCAAAAGGGCCATCTCTGGGTATCGGGACGCTTTCTTGGATCGCCATTCCCATCTTTCGGAAGCAGAGCGCAATGAACTTTGGAGTCAGCAGTTAAATCAGTTCATGCCCGCGTCGACCGCTAGGTCTTCTCCCAGCTACCGCCCGGTTTCTGGTTCTGGCATCCTTGATAATGGTGGTTCATCTCTCGAGAAATCTGGGAAACGGACTCGACAGGATACTCCTCGGACTCTACCTGGTTCTGGTCTTCCTCCGACGAAACGACGAGTCACCGTATGTGATCTATCTTGGTCTTCTGCTCCCGCCTTCTCTCCACCTCTCCGTTCTTAACCCATCCTGTGTTCCTGTTGCGCTACTTCCATCCTTTCTCACTTTCTTCTCTGCTCTCCCGCCAACAGTCCCTGGATTGACACTTGGCAGACTCCGGAACCTCCGGTGACCGTTGACCTGACGCGCGATCTGTCGCATGCGTCCTCGCCAGCTGCTCCCCAGACGATTCGGAAACTCTCTAGATCGAATTCTCGCAAGGACAACTACACGGGTCTTGGTCCCTCCCGGCACACGGCCATGGTCCGCTCGCAGAGTCAGCAAACTCCGGCTTCCCACCGACCCTCGCTGGCCACCCCCGTGGCGGGGCACCGACATTCCTATGGACCCCAGCGCATCAATCGCCGTCTTGACCATGTCAACGAATATTCCCCGTCCGAATATGCAAAGCAATGTTTGGATGACAACCAGGCCCATGGCGGAGTCTCCGCCCTCTCGATGGGGCTCTCTGCCGACACCACGGTGACTGGACTTCCACAGTTGAATCCATCCTTCGTCCAGCAACCTCACGGACAATCGGAGCTGGTCCCCGATTTGGCTGGGCTAGGGAAGCCATCTTTGGTTGATCAACCGGCCCCCCCGGCGTCGACCGCGGTGGAGATGAGTAGGACCCCGACCACCGACTCCTTGTGCGGAGGTATAGGAATGATGCGATTCGATTCGTCGGGACCGAACCTCAATCCTAATTGCTCGTTTCCTTTCCCTTCCTCTGAGTTCATTCCTTCCTCCTCCCCTATGAACGTCCCATTCACCAACCCCTTCACATCCGCGCAGCGTGACATGGATCATGTCTCGTTTCCTTTTACTGAGTCTTCTGCCCCACCCTCCTTCTCCTGCTCTGCTCCTCCTGCCACGTCTTTTGCACCGTCTGTATGCACTCTTTCTTCGTCTCCGGCCACGGAGATGAAGCATTCCATGTCTTCCGAGAGCAGCAGCTCGTCTCTTTCCCAGCCCTCACGAGCGGCTCGGAGAACCCAAGAACAGATCGTTCAGGGCACTAGGCCCATTGCTCCTAAAGTGGGCTCTCAGAGCATGTCTCCGCCGAAGGTGACAGAGCAAACCAAGATGATTCGTATCTCATCCTCGGATGGGACTGCCAAAGAGGTCGCAGCCATTCCCAAAGCCTCGATCCAGCGACCCCCACGCCAAAAGACGTACTGCACCATGTGCAACGACCAGCCCGACGGCTTTCATGGGGAGCACGAGCTGCGTCGACACATCGAGCGGGTCCACGCTGTGGTTCGTAAGGTCTGGGTTTGTGTTGATATCTCTCCTGGCAAAGCTTTCTTGGCCAACTGCAAGGCTTGCCGGAATGGAAAGCGATATGGTGCTAACTATAACGCTGCCGCTCACTTGCGTCGGACCCACTTTAATCCCTGCCAGCGTGGCCGGGGCGGACGTGGGAAAGACAGCGAGAAGCGAGGCGGAAAGGGTGGTGGCAATCATCCACCGATGGAAGTCCTCAAGCACTGGATGGTGCAGAAGGAGGAAGTAGTCCTTGAGAATGCTCAAAACTTTATTGACCAAGATGCACTAGGCGATGATCTAGTTGCGGCACCAGGCCCTGTCCCCCCGGAAGAGATGATGAGTGGCCTGTCCTCAATCTCACCAGAAGACTTCCAAGCCCCAGGGCTGGAGTCAACATTGACGAATGGGTATGACGCATTCTCTACTTTCCCCACGATGGGCATGGATTCGTCGCTTGATGCGTCATGTTATATCGATTCTCAGCCGTTAGTTCCTGAGATCGACTCGTATGTGTGAATTTACATTGCTCTTGACTTATTCCTGATGATTTTGCACACTTCTTGTGGATATATTCCTTGTTCATCTTTTTTTTTTTTTTTTTCCCTCTTACCTTTTTACTTTCTTTCTCTCCACCTTGGAGAGCTGTTTTAAATTTTTTCTCTTCTCTTGATTCTCATATCACCATCTTATTCTTCAACTTTTTTTTCTTTCCCTCTTGGTTGTTGGCTTCGTCCACCTTCTTTTTACTTTTTCTTTCCCAGCCACTTTATCTTGGTACATCTTTTTGGATTCTACTCTCGTCTTTTCTTCTTGGAATTCTCTTCCTTTCGAGACTGCAGCGGGGGGACAGCTCGGTCCTCTATGAAGCCTACCGGGCGATACGACATAATGTGTGATGATGAACAGTAACTTCAACCAGACTCAAAGATTTACAATATATTCAATTGGTGATCATACTCGAAAGCGACAGAAGCACCCATCCTGGTCCCTATCGGGGAATAAAAGGGAATGTCTGCGCAGCCGCGACTTCTACCACTGCCACTAATTGGCCATTAGCTACTTATATGGCACTTTCCTACTAATTACCTTCCTCTTAACTATCGGAGAGAGATTTTTTTTTTTTTTTTGGCAGGGCGTAGATTTCAAGGCAGTGCTTTTGCCATGCAAGTTGGTGATACTTGTGGTACTTTCACTCACCGCAGTGGTACTAAACCTGTACCAAGTGCTACCCTCTTTCTTTCGGTCGACTGACCTGGGGGGCTTTGCCAGCCTTCCTTGCTCCGATCTAATTGGATTGAGAGAGGTGAGATTCACATGGGAATGAGTGGCACTTACTACTTACTACCTCTGACATGACCCCACTAAAATGATGGGTAAAGATCCCTCGGGATCTCATGCATGAGGAAATTGAATCAACCCATATCCTACCTAGAGCCAACTAACTTACAACATTACCTCACCGTCACATGGTGTATTTATACTTACCTTTTTTTTTTGACTTTCCCTCTTCTTGTGAAATATCTGTTTTTTTCTTCGGGATAACTAAACAGTACATAGAAATACCATTTAATCCGAGCCTTGGTCTCCAATATCCGTAGGGCTAAGCTTCAATAGCGATGATGCCAGTGCGTTTGACATGCTGCCGATCTCAGTTCATCGCGATATGTATATATGCATTGTTGACCCCAAATACTAACTTAGTTAACTAGTTAGTTACTCTTGGGGACCTGATTATTAATCGCTCCTCAGATTGTATCCACTCATGCAAGGAACTATTTGAACGTATTACATTTACGGAAGTAGCCCGGCCCACACGCTCTCCTGGAAGTGAAGAAGCTCAGCTCAGCTCCGTCGAGCGAACAGCCCATCTGTCCCATGAACAGTCACTCCAGGATCTCCTTAGCTTACAGCTGTCTTCTTTCTTTTTTTTTTTTGTTTGTTTTTTTCTTTTCGTGGTGTTGCGTGGTGCTGTAGATCTTTACCCAGGATGGAAAAATCCTTGGAAGCGATCAGATGCACTTTTGGGACCACATGTGTATTCATCAAGAGAGGATGAGTTATAGGGATTGTGGTCCTGTAGATTGACTTGTGATCACGGGCTTTCTGAATACTCGTGATGCGGACGCGGTATTAGTATAGAGTTTCTCGCTAGAGTGGTAGTGTGCATTGGTTGATCATAGTCGCGAAATTGGGTCCGGGTTTGGAGCTATGTTATTGCGTGGTAGATAAGGAAATGGGGTCAAACGGGGAAGGGAAACACGGGGGAATCGAAATATGAACAGTAGTAGCACGAATCGAAAGAAGAGAAGGAAAGAGATCAGGTTGGAATAAGACTGCATTTGGAGGATTATTGTGACTGGCGTATACATATATATATATATACATATATATGCGCCTACAACGTATAAGCCGCACCCAAACTCCAAGAATAGTGATTGATGACAGGATGAGGATATATAATATCCATAGTTTAGTATATACAGTTTGTAGATGTTACGGGTTGAACCCGCAACACACGCCACATAGTGGCTATGGTCACGTGGTTCCCGCTAGTTATTCCTGATCCGTGTTTTCTGTTGTCTTTTCCTCTTCAGCTATTTCTTCTTGTTCAATAGGCACGCTTAGGTTAGGACAATCTATTCGTCCCGTAACAGTAGAGGAGCCTTCCGTGAGGTGGTCATCTCCATAGGCAACGACGCATCAGAAGAAGAGGTTCTAGAACATGTCCTGACAGTTCCGTTCCTGCACGACTCGGAAGCGTGTATCCGGCAGATTAAACTGCGCCTCCTGACAGATGTCACTGGAGCGACGTATAAGTTAAGAATTGACACGATGCTGCTGCCTGTGGCTTGGTCCATGGAAATGGAATGATGGTGGCTGACGGAGGTGCCACACCACACTCGCTGTCTGACCAATTGGAACAGGGGGGGGCGGTGGCCGGTGGGGAAAGCAGGGGACTTTTTCAGGGTAGGGCTGTGGCAGTGAAAGGGGGGGCTGTGTAATCCACCCCCCCCAGTTGAAATGGGATTTGAGAGAGGTGTTCGTGTTACCAGGTCAGAGGAAGTATTGTTAGTCTACTGAATGATTGAGGACACAAAGGAACGGTAATTGAGAGGGAGAAGACGAAGTGACAATGGTACTGTAAGTAAAATCGTAACACCCGAACGATGACAATAGCCCTAAAGGGGTATCAGACTAACGTTGAGAACAACAAGAAGAAACAACAGGTTAATCTAAGTGGAGCGTGGGTATGGAAAGACATGTTGGGGACTAGAATAGCTTAGTGATAAACATTCCTTGGGTTAGAATTGTCAAGAAAAAGGAAGAGGGAAATTTAAATAGGATTCAGACTTAAGCAATCTTCAGCCACCGGTGCTCGGCTTCTCCTCTTCTTTTTTTTTTTTTTTT